TCAGCAAGAGCCAGCACTTCCATTGTCTTTCTAATCAGCACTCTCCTGAACCTTTAAAATGTGAGTATTAAACCCTCCACTTCACCACTGCACATGCCAAGGGCCGTCCTGGCTCCAGCTAGCCCAGGAATCGAATCCTCTTTGCCCCTGGGCAGGAGATGCCTCAGCTCCCACCGTGGAGCCCGCTTTCTCACATCACCCGCACAGTCCTCGGTCAGGTGTCCTAGAAACATGCATGGGGATAGAAATGAGCATACAGAGACGTGTGGGAGAGTGCTGGTGGGAACCAGACTGTCAGGGGGAGGAGGTGAAGTGATGGAGCTGCAGCAGGGGTTTCAGCAGAGCCCTTGGGGCGTCCTGGAGCAGCGGGCCCTGCAGGGCTGTCTCGCCGTGGGGTAAAAGGCCAGGCCTTGGCACCCTTCAGGGCCTCGTCACTGCATTGGGACCATCCCTTTGAGGCAATTCTTGGGGAGGGATGCAGCTGTGAGCCAGCCAGCCACAGACAACTGTCCTGGCCACTAGAGAATGAGAGCCTGGGGCCTGGGGCCTGGAAGGGGAACTGGGTGTGCACCCAGCAGGTCTGTAGGAAAGCCGCAGGAGGCACGGGATGTGTGCTGAGAGCAGGTGGGCTCTCTGAGTTCTGGGGCACAAGAGGACTGCACGAGGAGACTGAGGAGACAGGCTGAGACTGGCAGGCCAGATGACAAGGTCTTAAATGCCAGGACAAAGATTCGAGGCTTTGCTCCTCCTGCAAAGGTTTGAGAAGATTATTTTGGGGTTGTAAGGAGACTGTGCAGCCCCTAAAAGGTCTCAATCCCTAAGTGTCCCTTCTGGCTGCCTCTCCCACAGAAGTCTCCTAACTGGCTTGCTCTGGCCAACTCACACCCACCACTGTCCCCTCCCCCTAGTCGGCTCCCTTCAAATTGTTGCTCCCCACAGTGCAGCATTCATGCACCAGTTCTAAATAGTCCCACTGTTCCACTTGAAGGAGAAGTAATACCAATTCCCATGTTTGCTCAGAGAGCACCATATTTCATCAAACCAGAGCCCATGCTGGCTCAGATTTCTGACTGAGACAATGTTCTGTAATCCTGGTTTATTCACATGTCACGAGTATTTTAGCAAAACAGAAATGAATGGCCTGAGCCACCCCAGGAAGTAGCGGGAGAGCTGGGTTCCGCCCAGAGGAAGTCGGGCCTTCTCCTGCCACAGTCCTCCAGGGAGCTGACTTAGATTCTCGAAGTTTCTCCCAATTTTAAGAAAGAGAACTTGGGCTGAGAAGGAGTCACAAAGTGGGTAGCTATTTCCCTATAAAACGGTAACTCCACGAATGGATATTGCCGGAGCAAAAATACAATCTGTCATTGATTATAAAGTCCTTTGTGCTTGTTATTTCGCAGATTTATTACACTTGGGCCCAGAGGCCTGGGGGCCCTGGGATTCTGCCTCTCACGCCCCAGCAAACCTCCGGCCGCTTTTTCACAACCCATTCCCCAAATGGGAACAGGGATCTCTGGCATTTCTTTTGTCCTAATGGCCATGAACTTTGGAAAACTAGACGAAGAGCTATATGAATCCCCCTCCCAACCATAGGGACCTACAGTACCAATACTAAGGCTCTTTGGCAGAAGTCTATGACTTCCTAATCAGGGAAACCTTCTCTTTTCTTTCCCCCCCCCGCCCCCCCCCCCAGCTCCTGGCACTGTGTGCTAAGAAATGCATTTTATCTGCAGAGCAAGGAATGAGCAGGCTGCACCTCCATCAGACCTGGAGTCTGGGTTCACATTAAATAGGCTAAAACAGGAGCCGTGCTATTTAGTCCCATCTCAGGTTAAACCTTATCAGTGAGCCTCATAATATGGAACTCTTGTCCCCACTTTAGACTTGAAGAAACTGAGGTGCAGAGAAGGCACATAACTTGTTTGAGGCCATACAGCGAGGTGTGCCGGTGAAAAGGGGGGCACGAACCCAGTCCCAATGTGCTCCAAAGGATCATGTAGCCCCTCTCACTTCAAGAACAGGTTGATATGAGGCCACAGACCCAGGCCTAGAGTGTGGGAGCTGAAACAGAGCCCGGGGGCCAACCTTTTCATTTAGACAGGAGGCCACTGGGGCTCCAAAAAGTGATGGGGCTGAGCAGGGTGACAGAACTAATCAGAGGCACAAACCAGCTCTCCAACAAATTAGCTGGACAATAGCATGAAACAGCTGTTCGGGAACATCCCAGGTTGTGTAACTTGGGGAAAGGTTCCAGATGAAAGCAAATGAAGGTGCTTGTCAGTACTGTCCAGAGTTGGCCTTCTTCCCACCGGCGTAGAACTTCGTGACTAGCTCTTCACTCCTTCCTCTGGGTTTTCTGAGCTTAAGGAACCCCTGCTATCCCAGAGTGTGCAGCAGAGAGTCCTGGAAAGCTGAGGGCCCCCCAAGCCTCTCACCTCCCTGGAGAGTGCACTCTCCACCGCAATTGGCAAGTTCAAGACCTCAACACCCGGTAAGACTAGTTTCTGATACTCCTAGGACTAAGGTAATTTTAGGAGGAAGCTGTCACAAATCACAGCTCTCAGGACTTGAATCCACAAGTTGAGTCTGCCATCTCAACTTTTATTTTGAGCTGCAGCTCAAGCTATTAAAAACAAAACATTCTCACTGGCAAGCTCCACAATTAGCCTCATTTCCACGAGCTGTTCTGCAGGAGCTGAAATTGCACAGCAATTGTTTCCCATCTTAGCAATGCTATTTGCAGGCCGTGCTGGGAGCCAGCAAGGATGTGACCCGGTGGTAATCTGAATTGCTTCACCAAACACATTTTTATCCCATCATCTCGGCTACATGAAAGGGGGCCATAGTGCTGCAGTGTTCAGACTTTACAGTCCCGCTGTTCAGCAATAAAATGAGGCAAGAAATATTAGCCGTCCCCGGCTGATGCCTTAATTCTTTCCCAACAATGTCAGAGAATCTGTGCCCAATGGGTTTTAGTGCCGGCTAAAGCCTGACCCTCTGGCTGGCTTGAATGGAGCGGGAATGAGTTAAGTAGAGTAAGAAGGCTTTAAGGGACACAGATCCAGAATAGCCCAGCTTGTCCCAGCCTCCTGCCGACTCCTCTCCTTTTCACAGGACTCGATTGTGTATGGCCCCAGCGGAGACAAAATACCCCTGAGCAGAGGTTACCCCCAGCTGGTACAGGTCAGAGGCATTCTGGGGCAGAAGGGGAGGGGGCAGAGGGGAAGTGAGGGGCACATACAGAGGGAGGGAGGCGGGTGGCTGGAGGAGGGAGCGGTAAGACAGAGTGGAGCATTTACAAGGAGAGAGTCATGGTGTCCAGGACTGGAACTTGATCACTGCACCTCCACACTCTTTTTGAAAACTGGTTCAGAAGTTGGGTGCGATGTGTACTAACTATGTAAAAAAAAATGCTTCTCTGTAGTTTTCCAAAAGCTACAGGCCCAAAGTTCCAGGCTTGCAATAGGATGGCCTCTCATCTGACATGGCAAGGTTTTTTAAAATTACAAATGGATTGTGTTTTACACACCAACAGAAGCTTTTTCCAGCAATGTTTCAATTATTGCCTTGTGAGTCCTCCAAGAAAAGGAACCATTTTGGCTCAGGAAGCCTAAAGTTACCCAGCAAAGGGAACAGCGTGTTCACAAATAGTCCTGAAAACGTGGCAGGGGCCGCATCCGGGACCCCCGGGAGAAGGTGGCTTTGGGAGGCCCTTCCTCCCTCAGGAGGATTCGTAAACTCTTTTTGCGGGCCTTGGACTCCTTCCTCAGTCTGAGGATGCTGTGCAGCCTTCCTCAAAAGGAATGTTTTTAACAGGCAAGGTAATAAAAGAAGCCGTTACATTAAAATGTCTTCATCAAGACAACATTAAAAACAACTTTGCAACATAGTAATATATATGCCTTTTAAATTATTTCATTAAATAACTAGCAGAGGGCTTAACAACTACTTTAATCTTTAAAAAGTGACAAGCCAATAAGATACTTTGAGAAATCTGAAACAACTCCCATGATAGGAAAATATCTGTGCTTGGTGGTTATTGGTGACAAAGTCGCTATGGTGTGGTTGGCTGGCTGCCTTTCCAATATTAGGAAATGCTAGGTTTCAGTTACAGGCTAGTGAAAATAAAGATGCAATTCCCCCACTCAAATCCCCAGGCCCGGGAGACTATATGCATAGTGGGGAAACCCTTCGAAAGGCAAGGGTCCAGTACCTCCTGCCAGAGCTGAGCTCAGGCAGGAATTCAGGGCACCCGCACTTCATCCGGAATCCTCCTTGGGCCGCCACTGCTTCCCTCTGCTATCCTGGCGTTTCGGGGAGGTTTTGTGAAGCCATTTGAAACCATGTCCTTTTGCAGTACAGTCCGATGATTACCTGTCCCAAGTCCAAATGTTAGCCAGGACCTTTGATGTGTTCCTTCAACAACTCGAATCCGTGTCTCCAAATCCAGGGTCAGTTAATCCCCTAATTCTGAATGTTAACCAGGATCGTGTTTCAGTTGCCCTGCGGGCTGAGTTTGGGGGTAGGGATTTTCATTCTCCAAGGCTGCCCAGTAAGGGTCGGTCCATTCCCTCACTGTTCCCTCAAGCTTGCATTGGGGACACTGGCTCAGAGGCAATTGGGCGCACACTCATCACCTCTCTGGTCCTCACGGGGGAGCTGTCATCTTGCAACCACTTACTAGTAGTCCTCGCATGCCATTGCAGGGGCAACCCTGCAGGCGGCCCCTCCGGCTCCCCCTCCCCGGCGCCCCAGCCCCCTCGCTCAGCCCGGCCAGCCCTTGGCGCCGAAACACCAGCCTCCAGGGTCGCGGTTCTCTGGCTCCAGCCAGGGGAGCGGGGAGCGGGGAGCGGAGAGCAGGGAGCGCGCTCGCCAACGCCCACGCCCACGCCCACGCCCCCCGCACTCGGCCCGCACTCAGCGCACAACCTGCGCGCGCCCTGCCACAGACGGGCGCACGCACAGCCCGGGCCGGGCGCTCTCCTGCTGGCCGCGGCCCCGGTGGTCCGGGAAGCACTGCTGGCTCCCCGAAGGCGCCGCTGGCCCCCCGCCCCGCTCCGCCCCTCAAACCCGCCGGGCCCGCAGCTCCGTGCGCCACGAAGTTCCGAGGCGCGAGTCCGTGGAGGCAGCGCGCCCTCAGGGCTGGGCTGGGCTCCGCGCCCTCTGGACGGCCGTGACCGCTGGCCTTGAGCTGGGGCGGCTGACGGACTGAGCGCTAGGTTGGTTGCTCCTCTCAGCCGGCACCCCGCGACCCCCAGCTGCCTGGGCTGCTGTGCGCCCTCCATCCGCAGGGTCAGTCTGCAGCCCCGGTGCGCCCGCGCCCTCCCTCCTCGCCAGCTCCGGCCATCGCCACTGCCACCCACCATGGCCCATGGCCCCGCTCACACCAGCCAGGGACCAGGGTCCCAACTACTGCCGCTGCTGCTGTGGCTTCTGCTGCTGCTTCAGGACGCGGGTGGCAGCCACACAGCCCCCGCCCCGCCCGTGGCCTCCTATGGCCTGGCCGGAGACAAGGACCCCCAGCGGTTCCTGGGGGACAGGGCTGCAGCTCTGGGCCCTGGCGCCCAGGACATGGTCGCTGTCCACATGCTTCGGCTTTATGAGAAATACCGCCAAAGGGGCGTGCGGCCTGGAGGGGGCAACACGGTCCGCAGCTTCAGGCCCAGGCTGGGTAAGTAGAGGGCTCTGAGCCCTGTCATTCTCTCCTTTCCTGTTCCTCCTCTACCCCTGCATCTCCGCATGTCCTGTTCCTTCCACTCATTGTCACATTCGTTCATTGTCTCACTGAAGATTCACCAAGTGCTTCTGCCAGTCCCTGAGCCACCTCCAGTGGGGTCACCTTGGTAGCCCAGAGTGAGGGGCTGCGAACCTGGAAGCCTGTCACACTTGCTGATACAGATCATTCCATTTGCAGGGCTTTGAGCACAAGGATGGAGATGGGACTGGGCTGGGAAGCTCATGGGTGGGGGGCCCATGTCATGGGGTCAGTTGTGTTGGCTCTCACCCTGCGGAGGGCATGGCAGGTGGGCAGAGAAGTTCCAGGCCCAGGGCCCAGACTGAGGGTGTGAACCTCGAGCTGGGGCAGGTCGTGGGCCCGGTGGCTGGGGAAGTAGGTTGGACCAAAAAGGGCCTCGGGTGAGCAGGCTGGAGGCCTGCGGGGCTCCGGCATGAAGTGCTCAGGAGGGTTTGAAGAAGGCTCCAGAAGCTTGCAGAGATCCTTTCCCCTCCCCACACCTTGAATGGACCTGCACAGAGGCCGCTTGCACAGCGCCCTTGCCCTGCTCAGAGAGCAACGCCAGCCTAAAGCCTCATGTCTGTCCACCTGGGCTGGGCTGCTCTGCGGTCCCCATGGTGCAGAGGTGGGGCAGCCTGGGGCCAGGGGTGGGGAGAAGACCCTGGTTGTCTTTGGAGACTACTCATGGTCACAGGATGCCATTCCAGAAAGTGTGGGTCGGGGTCCTCTGCAGCCCTGGGCGGGGGAGGCCATGCGTCAGAAGAAAGACCACCAGGAACAAGTTCAACATTGGGGCCACCTGTCGTGGGTCAGATCTGCCACCTGCTGACCACTGGCCATGTGACTCAGGTAGCATCTGTGGCTCTGAGCCACACCTGGGAAGCTCGGCCTCACTGACCCCTGTACTGGGAGCACCTGCCAGGGAGAGGCCCCGTTCCCCTACCCTGCACTGAGCAGACTCAGATGGGTTCCAGGCCAACCAGAACGAACTCCATCCCCCCTAGTACGCTCCATTCATCACCTGGGGGCTATTTCCGCAGCAGCATTATTAATTAAGCCCCTCAAGAATCATCGAGCATGGATGTGACCTTGAGCAAATCATTAAAACTCTGTGGACTTGAGTGTACTCATCCACAAAATGGGACGTTCATGCCAGTACCCACCCTGTGGGGTGGCAGGGCAGCTGAGCTGAGGTGATGTGTATGATCCCGAGCCAGCCCTGGCCAGGTCAGGTGCTGGTACATGCTATTCCCCTCGGAATACAAGCATTTGTGTTCATACAGGTGCAGACTTGACCTTGCAGCCATTGAGTCAGCCCTCAAAGCATCGCAGTTGAGGAAAGCATTGCTGCAACAAGGGGCGAGCACCCGGGAGCCCACCCCCTTGCTGCAGCCCCTGGATGGAGGCTCACAGTTGATCTCTGTTCTCACAGAATGGGGGTACTACAAGTAACAGTGAGCGAAGACAGCATGTTAGCCCTGAAAAAGACCCAGAGACAGTCCTTCAGATCCAGCCCTCCCATTTCACAGAGAAGGAAACTGAGGCAGGGGATGGGGCTGTTCACAACAGTGGCAATGGCTGGCGCTTCCCATCTGCTAAGCCCATGCTATTTTCACCACTCTCTCCCTCCCCCAGCGCCATCACGACTAAGCCCAGGGCTTGGGAGACGGAGGGTAGAACAGACGATCTGGGGGCTTATTCTGAAGGAGCCTGGGACTGCCTGACAAACCTAACATTAAATCCAACATTCCCGTCTGGAACCTCTGGCCGCCAGCTACTGGCGTGTGCTGCGGTGCCCGTCACTACCCCTCCGAGCACCCGCTCTGCCTACAGCGGGCAGGAAGGCTCAGTGGGTGGGGGTTGGTGCCTGGCACAGAGCAGCTCGGCAGCTTCATTTCTCATCCCCTCCCTTGATTCACTTCAGTTGTTCCTTATGCAGCTGCTCTCCAGCCCTCAGAGATGCCCGCTGTCTGACCAGCTGTGAGGAGGTGTGAGCCTGGGCAGGGGGCCCTCACCTATGAGTGAGGCCAAAAAGTGGGGCTTCCGCTCTGGTACCTGAATGTCCCGGGCCAGCCCCCAGGCGGTGCCTCTGCAGCTCGGTGGGTAGCGCCTCTGCCTGCACAGCAGGTGCTGGGCCTTCAGCCTTGTTTCCAGGAATGTGTTCCTCACCTGCCGCCAGGCAGAGCTCAGGTGCCCAGGACTGGCTGTGAGCTGCGGAGGGGGGGTGGGGACACCAGGTCCTGTGTCTATGACTCAGACTGGCTTGCGCCTCAGCTTTTCACTTCTGAAATTCTGCCTTTCTTATAAGGTGCTTTTTAATGACTGAAACATGTCAAGTGTTTAAAAAATGCCTGATGTATGTGTCAATAATTTATTAGCTCCTACTATTATTACTCCAGCCGCCCTCGCTCCCTTCCACTGAGTATGCTTTGCTCCTTATTAAGGCTACATCAGTGGAGAGAGCCTCTGATCCTGCCCCTAAGGGTTAAGATTAGACACCCCCTCCCAATAGCCTGTATTTAAATCTTAGCTCTGCACCCACTTGTGTAATACCAGCACGTTACTTAACCTCTCTCAGCTTGACCTCTTTATCTCTATAAGGAGTGTAATAATACACACCTATCTGTCTGCAATGTCAAAAGTCACATTCATTTCTGTTCCCCAGGTCTTTCTCAGCACCCCAGGGGGAGCTCAGATGACACCAAGATGCATTTTTGGGCCCTGCCTGCCCAGAAACGCTCAGGAGCTGACTCCACCAAGGCCTGGGGGGTGGGGGGGACTTCGGGACCCCCAAGGAACAGCAGGGCAGGGCTCTGGATAGCGCCATTGAAGCCCTTACAGCAGGTGACCCACGGCAGATGAAAGAGCAGGTGGTGTTTAGGCAGCTGTGGAGGTGAAGCTGTCCGCTGTGCACCTTGACCTGGGAGGACTTGGGTTTGAATGAGGGGATAAGGTGAGGAGAAGCGGACCAGTGGGCTATAGCCGGGCCATCAAGAACTTGAGTGTCCTAGAGGCCATGGGGGAGTATACAGTGTTATACAGTGATGGAGGGGGAGAGGGGAGAGAGGAATGACCGGAGAGAGGGAAAGGGAAGGAGGGGAAAGAAAGAGAAGGGAAGGGAGAGAGGGAGAGGAAGGAGGAAGGAAGGAGAGACTCAAGGGAAGGAGAAAGGAAAGAGAAGAAAGAAAGATCATAAAAGCAATGCTTACTTACTGGGGGATATCTAGAAATCATAGAAAACCACAGTAAAGAGAAGTCATCCCTAATCACACACCCAGATCTCACCAGAGGTAATATTTTGGTGGGATGTGTAGTTTTTAGGATCATATGTTCAACATGCAGGTAAAATGTGTTATATTCTCATTTGAAGTTGCCTTTTTTTTTTTTTATTGTTTCTTGTTATTGGGATTCTGTCTTTTTCTTCCTGATTTGTGGAGGTTCTTTATGTATTAAGGACATTAACCCTTCACCTAAAATGGATGACTCCCTTGAGGCCTGAGAGTGACCTGAGGGGCATGGGGCTCTGGGCACAGTGGCATGAGGCCATACCCTGGACGGAGCAGTGGGGAGGGACCAGTGTGCAGGACTCTGTGGATAAGCAGGTGCAAAGCCCAGAGGACTGGGATTGGTTAGATGCTGGTGGGGAGGAGGCCATGAGCATCCTCGGGCTCCTGTTGGGTGGGGAGGGGACACGTGGCCATGCCTCTCACTGGGCACGAGGCAGGGATCAGGGCACAGTGCCCTGAGTGCAGCCGCAGCTCACGATGCCACAGGGCACCGTGCAGCATGCTCCACAGAATGATCGTACAACTTTAGGGGGTGGGCACAAATATTCTGTAGTTCCCTGGGGAGGAAACTGAGGCGCAGAGATGGTCCATGACTCGCTGAAGGCCCCAGAGCTAGTAAGTAATGCAAGCACACTGAGCCTGACTCTGGGCCTGCCTGAAAGAAAGACGCTCCGTTCGTCTTAGCTCTCCCTCCTCTGCAGCACCACCGGCCCCACTGCGCCCTTCCTCCAGCTTATGTGGTACTTGTGTCTTCCAGGGTTCTCACCCGGGGCACCTCGGTGGCTGTTTCGAGGGCAATGGACGACAGCATGCATCTCAGGCGGCTCGCGTCCTGTTCCTGTAGGGTCGAGCCCACCTGCTAACTGGTGCAGACAGAGCTAGCACAGACCCAGGCTCCATCCCCCAGCATGTGTTTCAGAGCACTGAGTCCCTCGGCCTTGTGTTGGTATCTAGAGACACAGCGGCAAACAAAGCTGGCAAAGCCCCTACTCTCTGGGAGCGGGTGTCCTGGGGGAGAGAAACCCCAAGGAATATATGTCAGGATATTGGGAAGTGACATGAAGATAAATAAAGCAGGGAACCACGGAGATGCCTCACGCTGGGGCCAATCCAGATGCTGCAGGCTTACAGACACTCTTCCCCCACCCCCCCACCTCCCCGTGCTTCCCAAACTTCTCTGCTGGTTAGAACCCCTGAGTTGCAGGTTAAACTACAGATTCCTGCGCCCCATTTTCAAGGCTTTCTGAGTCACATCCAGGGAGGAAAGCAGTGATCAGGGATCTGGGAAATGCAGGACTCGACCATGACACTCCAGGTTGCAGTGGTGGGGGAAGCCCGTTCCAATGTGCATTGACCATGCTCCTGTGTGTGTGGCAGGCCACACCTCGAGGGGGGCCCAGCGGCCGCCACAACTCTGTGTTTGTTCTGAGAAAAAGATAGGGTGGGGCCTTGGAGTGCCACTGAGCCGTGCCGGGCATTCCCCAGGACCTGCGCAGATGCGTGTTCTCCTTCTTCCCCCTCACAGTCCCTTAAGAGTGGGTGAGTTCCCAACTGAATTATGCCTCCTTCCTAGTGTAAACAATGAACTGTGAACTGAAGATTTTCGTTTTGAAAATAATCCCAGCGGATCCCGTGGGTGCACAGGTGAGGGCATCTGTGCCCGGCCCAGCACCAGCACACATGACATTCCGAGCTCTGGAGCACTGCCCTCTCCCAGCTCTGCCCACAGGCCCACACGGGCAGCAGGACATAATTCAAGGGAACAGCCTGCCTGGCAGCTCTGGTCTCCTGGTGGTCCACAGCACCCCTGGGAGGCCCCAGGAACCACTCCTCCCTCCCATTCGAACCCTAGAGAGGACTTGGCCATTCAGGGAGCTCATGCTGCCAGGCCAGGCAGCTTCCTGGAGCTGCAGACCAGGGGGCTTGGCCCTGGGAACTAGAGGTAACTTGGTAGACCCAGGAGAGAAGGAAAGAGGGGTTGGCAGCCCTAGGATGCAGGGGCCAGAGCGTTCTCCAACTTCAGAGGGGCTGTTTGAGGGATCCCAGTCCCTACCATGGTTTGAGCCTCTGGAGCAACCTGGACGTTGGAAATTTTGTTGGGTGGCCTTGTGCATCCTGATTTCTTTCTTTGTAAAACAAGCTGAAAAGCTATTAGGCAGCCCGGCCAGAGGTGCTTACTTGGTTGAGTGTCGCTGTGTGCACAGAAAGGTTGCTGGTTCAATTCCCTCGCAGGGCACATGCCTGCGTTGCGGGTTTGGTTCCAGTCAGAGCATATATAGAAGGCAAGGGACCAGTGTGTCTCTCTCACATGCATCTCTCTCTTTTTCCCTCTCAGCATGTCCTTGGGTGAGGATTTTTTTAAGCTGTTGGGCAGAGCACAGCAGACAGCCAGGTGACTGTGTCCGTAGGCCCTTTTCCCTCAGCAGGCCCTCAGCACAGGAGGGTATGGGGTTAGCTACTCCTGCACCTCATTTGGAAGAACGGCTGCATTTAATGTCTGTTAAATAAAGGCAGAGGAAATACTAGTACAGGAAGGGCTGCTCTCAGCAGCACTTGAACTCAGCCCACCTTAATGGGCCAGAGGTCGTTTGTTCATTTGTTCATTGAGAGGCACTGGAGTATGTATGTGTGAGGGGGGGGTGGGGGGTGGAGGGGGGGGGGGAGGGGGGCAGCTGACAGGAGTTGTAGGGGCCAGTAGTCTGAGCACCTACCCTGTCTGCGGCTACATTTCCTTGTTTGCAGCAGGATATTGACAGTCCCCAACCTCTGTGACCTTAATTTCTCATCCACTCACTGGGGATAGCAGAGGGCGCCCTCGTCACTTTAATGTGAGAATTACACGAGGACAGCCTGGCTGGCCTGGAGGGGCCCCCTGAATGGGTGTTCCTCTTCCATCCCAGCCCTGGCCGCTGCAGGAGAGACCCTAACAGGCTGTGTCTGTCCTTCCCTCGCAGAAGTGGTCAACCAGAGGGCCCTGTACTTCTTCAACCTGACTTCCATGCAGGACTCGGAAATGATCCTCACGGCCACGTTCCACTTCTACGCGGAGCCACGGTGGCCCCGGGCTCACGAGGTGCCCTGCAAGCAGCGGGCCAAGAATGCGTCCTGCCGCCTGCTGCCCCCAGGCCTGCCCGCACGCCGCCACCTGCTCTTCCGCAGCCTCTCGCAGAACATGGCCACGCAGGGGCTGCTCCGGGGGGCTGTTGCCCTGGCGCCCCCGCCACGGGGCCTCTGGCAGGCCAGGGACATCTCCCCCATAGTCAAGGCGGCCCGCCGGGATGGCGAACTGCTTCTCTCTGCTGAGCTGGATTCTGGGGAGAAGGACCCTGGGGTGCCCCGCCCCAGCGTCCACACACCCTACATTCTCATCTATGCCAATGACCTGGCCATCTCGGAGCCCAACAGTGTGGCGGTGACATTGCAGAGATACGACCCCTTCCCTGCTGGAGACCCGGAGCCCGGCGCCGCCCCCAACAGCTCCACAGACCCCCGCGTCCGGAGGGCCACGCAGGCCGCCGGGTCCTTCCAGGACAACGAGCTGCCGGGGCTGGACGAGAAGCCAGCACAGGTGCCCCACGCCCCGCAGGGCCACAAGCACGCACTGTGGCCCAGCCCCTTCCGGACACTGAAGCCCCGGCCAGGGCGCAAGGACCGCAGGAGGAAGGGCCAGGACGCGTTCGCGGCCTCCTCGCAGGTGCTGCACTTCGACGAAAAGACGATGCAGAAAGCCCGGAGGAAGCAGTGGGACGAGCCGAGGGTCTGCTCCCGCAGGTACCTGAAGGTGGACTTTGCGGACATCGGGTGGAACGAATGGATCATCTCTCCCAAGTCCTTCGACGCCTACTACTGCGCGGGAGCATGCGAGTTCCCCATGCCCAAGGTAGGGCGCTCCGCCCACTGCCTCTGACTCTCAGCTGTCCCCGGCTGGTGGCTGGCGAGTCCCTCTGCCTGGTGCTGCTTCCGGTCTGTAAGACAGGGATGATAACACCTCCCATCTGCAGGGCCTGGGTGGACAGGTACAGCCCACAGAGGGATATGGCTGGCCTGTGCTTTTGAAAATGATAACTTGGTTGAACTAAATTTTAAATCGGAACATTTCTGTTTTTGCAAAGGGGAGAACCCCTCTCCTTAGGTGTGTGTTCCCACAAGGCAACAATCCGCAGAGGCTGAGTGGATGCTGCCCCCTGTAGACAGGACAGGGCGTCAGCTCTCCCTCCTCACCTCAGCATCCGTGTCTGTGACCAGCACAGAGCTGCTTTCAGTGACTTCAGTGAGGACTCCCGCCTCCCTTCCTCCCACTCAGGGCAGAGACCCACAGGACACCCAGCCCTCACGGTGCAGGAGTCTGCAGACACACGCCGTGGGCTGCTCTGTCCACCGCGCTGGCAATGCTTGCAGCCCCACCTTCCCTCCAAGCTGGGCTGTGGCTGTCTGTCCATCTCCCACTGCCTGAGCGTGCTGCTGGTTGCCAGCTGATGCCGATCTTCGGTCACAGTGCACACTTCCCTTGTGCTTAGCTCCTCTGCTGAGTTTCGGGTCATGCCTTCCCTTCAGGAAAGGAAGTCAGTGCATAAAGCCAATTCGAACCTCAGTAAGGCAGCCAGCTGGGAAATCCCAGAGCCCACGCAGGCGGCATTCCCCTGCTGGGCCTGACTCTCCTCAAAGCCGTGCATGCGCCAGAGAAAGGGAGGGTGGTGCCCTCAGGATGGCGTGTACGGGAAGGTCTGACAGAGTCTGGACTCCCGCTGGCTGGCCCTGCACTCACCCTGTCACCTGGCTGGCTGCCTTCCCACCTTCCTGACACCTGCCTGCATCCCACAATCAGAAGTCCCTGCCTCCCTCCCCTCCCTGCTTCCCACCAGGGGGCTGTCTCTTCAACACAGTGACATAAAGCTCTGGTCCCGCTGAATCCTGCTCCCCTGTCAGAGGTGCCTATGGAGCAGCGTTCTCTGGGTTTGCTGCTGTGCCCCGCGCCTCCTGGGGGTGCGAGGCTGCTGGGGAGGAGGAGAAGCCTGTGCCTGGCTGTCTTCCTGAGGGGTCTTGGTCAAGTTTCTTAGTCATTCTAAGTTTCCCCACCAGTGAAATGTGGTAACAGCCACCCCATGAGGCTGATAGGTGGCTAATGGGATGACGCAGGTGAAGCAGCACTGACACCGCGTCCACCTTCCCAGGAAGTGTCAGTGTCCAGGCCGCCGGTGCTCACATGTGCAGCTGCCCATCGGCGCCCAGAGCTCCGTGGCGCGGAACACGCGGTACTCCTGGGCCTGTGCAACCGGGGCCGCTGCGGCCCAGCCGAACCTGCTGGGCATCTCCTTAGGCCTTCCCTCTGAAAGCGCCTGCCCAGTTCCAGGTGCTCCTCCTCGGGGATGGGTGAGGAGCAGGTGCCCCCAAGCGGCCAGTGCCATGGAGGCGTTGTGACCGCGCTGAGAGGTGGGAGGGGCAGGAAGGCCTGAGGCTCTTGCAAACTCCCAGGGCTCTGTCCCTGGAATCCACACGTTTTCCGCCTTTCCCAGGGCTGAGTCAAGGACCTGCAGATGGCTCGGTGGGTGGGAGAGGGCAGAGTGCCGAGGTAACCATGCTCCTTTCCCACTGCAGATCGTCCGCCCGTCCAATCACGCCACCATCCAGAGCATCGTCAGGGCCGTGGGCATCGTCCCAGGCATCCCGGAGCCCTGCTGCGTTCCCGACAAGATGAGCCCCCTGGGGGTCCTCTTCCTGGATGAGAACCGGAATGTGGTTCTGAAGGTGTACCCCAACATGTCTGTGGAGACCTGTGCCTGCCGGTAAGACCGGCTGCTCCAGGGAGGGAACCCCCGGTGCCCTCGGGCAGCGGCCTCCGCGCCCTGGAGTGAGAGTTTGACTGGAGGTGCAGCTGCAATGGCCGGGCAGCGCACAGGCGGCGCACAGGCGGCCCAGGAGGATCTGTCCCCAGGGCATCATTTCGGGGTTTTATTGCCAGTGACTGAGCCCCAAAAGGACCCGAAAATCAGCCCAGCCTGAAGGGGGCCACCGCCCATCCCTCGCCCTGGAGGCCGGCAAGCCGGACCTGTCCACACTGTTGGCGGCCGTGGCATCACTCCTGGCCTTCGCAGAAGCCTGCGCACCTGGGGCCTCGCTCCTCCCAGTGGAAACAGCCTCATGTAAACAATCGCATTGGCCACATATTAATACTGGAAAATAGGCCTAAGCAATAGTAAAAACGGATGTTTCTTTTCCCAGATTCCACTGCAGAAGCTTTTACAATATGCACATGTAATCAATTTTCATTTCTTTTTCTTAATATATATTTTATTTTAAAACAAAAAGGGGAGCTGTAACCATTCCACACGGGTAATCGTGCTGGGTAAGTGTGCATTGTTCAAACATGCTTATTGAAATAACACGCAGCGATATCTTGGAACACTAAAAAATAATCGAGATTTTTATATTTTTATAAATTATACTTTCTCTACTGTAGGTTGTATGTTATGTGTTTTATGGAAAGCTAATAAATTAAAGGTACAATGGTATCTTGAAAACTAAATGTTACCCATTCCAAAATACTGATGGACCCCACCTGGGAGCACTCGCCTGCATGGCTGCTGGGATCACAGCCTTCACTGGGATCAGCTGAGACTCCATAGGCCATCTCTGCCCCAAACTCGGGAACCAGCTGCTCCTGTGCCCTCGAGTCCCCCACACACACACCTCTCCCGCTCCCCCACCCCAGCCCAGTCCAGGCAGCAGCAGCCCAGGCCGCCTAGCCTCACGCGGCTTCTGTGCACTCCGCCTCAGAGGGACAGCGAATGGTGAATGGTCGGGAGGGTCTGAGACACCAAGAGGAACCTCTGGGGCCGCCTGGTCCTGGCACTGGGAGGAGACTCGGGCGCGCAGCCTGGAGTCGCTCCTGTGGTGCCCACGCTCCTGGGCCCGGAGCAGCTGCTCCCTGGCGTGTGGCAGAATGGCCAGCTGTTTCCTCATCAGCAACCCATCCCAGAGCAGCCTCCCCAGTGGCTCCCTTGTCTCTAAGTTTGCGTGGTTTACAGTGCTGTTTACCACAAGCGTGAGGCGGATTGCCCGGAGTTGGGCAGGAGAACCTGGGTGTCTGACAGTCGTCGGGCTGGGCCCTGAGCCTATGGCAAGCCCCAGTCTTACTTGGAGGACACGGAGAAGCGGGGAGCAGGCCTCCAGTGGGGGCTTAGAGGAAAGACCCCAAGGCGTCTGTCTTAGGCCAGGTTCCCAAGACCAGGGCTCCTCCACAGGATGCACGAGGAAGTCCCCCAGGAGACGTGGTACGGAATGGCTGAAGCAGCACTGAAGGGCAGGCAGCCGAGCGCCCCAGCCTCGCCTGGGTCCTGTGGGGGGCTCTGAGGGCAGGCAGCCTCGCACCCCAGCCTCGCCTGGGTCCTGTGGGGGGCTCTGAGGGCAGGCAGCCGAGCGCCCCAGCCTCGCCTGGGCCCTGTGCGGGACTCTGGAGCTGAACTACACCTGAGGGTTGGTCAGGCCTTGACCAGGGAGCTGGGTGTTCACCCCTCCCCAGGTTGCTTCAGGAGGGAGTGACAGGGAGGAACGGAAACTCCCAGCTCCCTGACCCTCTGCACAGGCACCCGCTGAAGAAGGCTGCAGTGCAGCTACTGGACACAAGGCGACCAACGAGACGGAGTGCCCAGAGCAGGGAGGCAGGGAGTCCTGAGGCCCCTGGCAGAGCCGCCCAGCGCTGCTCACACCTCTGAGATGCTCCAATGGCCCTGGGACGTGTGCCCACAGCTGCCCGGGCACACAGCCCTGGCTCTGGGCAGAGACCAGGGGACATAAGGTAGAGCTCTCGCTCCTGCAGGCATGTTCTGGGACTGAACCTTCAGTGTGAATTGCTGGGGTGTCGGCCAGCTTAGCACTTGGTGTGCGTATCTAAGCCGTTTTGGAAGATGACAGGATGCAGGTTAATAGAAAAATAAGAACAAAGCTCAGGCCTGATAAGGCTCCCCATGCCTCCCTTCACAGGTCCGATTCCTTATTTTCTCTTCTCCCTTCAATTTTCTCTCATCAAGTTGCTCCCTTCCACTTCTTGGTGGAAATGGGGTGACCTATACTAGTTCTTTCTGTCATTTTCAGTTTCTGGGAGATCTTCCGAGTCACCCTGAGTGCCTAGAGCTCCTCTGCTTCGTTTCTGGACTCGGGGTGGAGGGAGCAGGCTGGGAGCACACCTTGGGTGCTGCTGTGGGCGGGGAGGGTGGGACTCGGGGGTGAGGACTGGGAGTGGGTGGGAGGAGCTGTGCCATCAGTGCCCGAGAGACGGAAGGGGAGCCTTGCGGCACCTTGCAGCTATTTCCTTAGCGGTGCCTCGGCAGCACCGGCTCAGGCTGGGTGAGGGTGCCCACGGGCCTCCCCAAGACAGGGGCAGCGTCAGCTTCACACCAAGGCTGCTCGAACCATGGCCACATGCTGGCGCTGCCCACGCCTGCTGGCCAGTGGCCGCACTGCCAGCCTGTTTGGTTGTCCCAGTGGCACTGAATGACCTCACAGTAAAGCAAGGTTTAAAAGGAAACGTGTGTATGAAACATTTTTCCTTAAAACCAAAATATCAACATCACACAGGAGGCTCCAACACGGAGCTCAGCTGGGCATGGGCCCCTGCAGTCGTGGGTCTGGAGGCGGGAGTGGTGGCTGCCACCGGGCCCTGCTCCTGAAGCGACACCCTCTGGAAGGGTTAGTCCATGTGGCAGATACAAACCGTCCAACTGAGAGCCAGAAATGTAAGGCTGGGAGAACACTGTGGGAGACGGATCCAGCCATTTTACTGAACAAGTGGGGAAACCGAGTCCAGATACCACCAGGTGCCTTGCTGAGGTGTCCCAGTAGGTACCTCTGTAGGTCTAATTCACTCTAAGAACCTGGGTATCTGACAGTCATCGGGCTGGGCCCTGAGCTGGGCCTTGGATGTGCCCTCAGGCAGGGACGCCGAGTGCTCTCCTCCCCACCATCCTGCACTGGGCCAGTCTCGCCTGGTCTTCGGTTTCTGCTCAGCACCGCCCTTGCTCAGAATACACAGGCTGCTTGGTGAAGGGCGGTGCTGACAACATGCCATCACCGCTGTCACCTGTCACAGTGCTTCTCAGGCCAGGATGGAGGCAGAGCGATGCGGGTGGGACTGGGGGCAGAGTTCTGGGTGGGGTGGGAGGGCATGAGGGGCTCACAGGGAGAGGAACGGAGGTGGCCCCACCAGGATGAAGGGCTGGACTCATTGGTGCAGAAAGGCATTGCAGATCCCACTTGAGCAAATGTGTGTGATGGCACCCATGCCACGGAGAGCTGGAGGGGTGGGGGGAGACCAGAAGGGCAGAACCAGCTCTGACTGTAAATTGTGCACCAAAACCCTGACGTTTCAGTTCGAGGCCATTCCTTTACCAAAGCTGGACACGTAGAGCCCCTGGGCACACCGACACTCTGAGATTCCCTTCCCGTCCCTCTCTTGCCTGAGGGTGATGCTCGGCCCAGCTCGGCCCACTCTCCTTCTCAGGTGGAATTCAGTCCCAGCCCGTCTCTCCCAGCAGCCCCGGGTGGGTGAGCAGAGAATGGCCTGGTTATCAGTCTCTGCTCTAGCACCTACTGAAAGCCGAGTACCGTGTGAGGCAACATCTGCTACTTTGCCTCCTGGGGCTCATGCGGACGTCCTCCATCAAAACCCATGTGCACACTCCAGCGAGATCCAGTCACTGGAGGGCTCGGCCAGGTCGCCCGGCCTTGTTCTGACTCAGGCCAAGGCTTGCCCTTCTGACCTGTTCCCTGCTGCTGGGCGTCCAGGGCCACACAGAAGAGCCACTGTTCTGTAAGTGTGCTCACCGCCTGGCACGGTCCTGAGACAGGGCGCTCACTGTTCACATGCCAAGAGGATCGCAGGGAGGCGAGGCTCAGAGCTGCGAAGCAACCCACCCCCTGCTCTGCCTGGCTCATGCTTCCTTCTTGCAGCTCCTATTCCTCCAGCGACGTGTGGGTGAGTGTGGGGCTTGAGAAGCTCACAGAGGGACTGGTAGTGTCCTTGTCACCATGTGCCCCAGGGCAGCAGGAGTTCCTAACCCCCCGGAGGCAGCTGCTTCACAGATGGCCCCACCTCCACGAATGAAGGTTGAGCTCTGTGTCTGCTGAAGGGATGGGCCTCGGCAATCCTTGAAATAAATGGACGAATCCATCCGCCCTCTTACTCGTTAAGTTTACGTCTCCCATAGCAATTGCACTTGATGACCCTAGTTCTGCGGTTCACAAGTCCAGGGAGAGATGAGGTTACAGAGGCTCTGGTTAAAGTCACCACAGCACAGGAATGCTTGTCATCTGGACATCGAGTGTAGCTAGGGCAAGGCTGAGCTGGCAGCCCCATCCTCAGCCCGGCCAACACCCCGTGGAGCACCCTGAGTGTTCAAGGACATACACAGCGATGAGCACGGAGGCCTGCCCAAGGAGCCTCGGCCACTGTGAGTGCAGGGACTCAAGGGCAAACCCAACTGCAAGAAGGATGTGCCAACTCAAGCCACCAGCCGGCAGCAGTCCTCGGCCCTTCGTACTGGTTGCAGGCAAACCCAGTACGTCTGTGGCTCAGGATACACAGCTGCTTGGTGAAGGGCGGTGCTGAGCAGAAACCGAAGGCCAGGCGAGACTGGCCCGGCGCAGGGCCATGGGGAGGAGAGCAGGAGCGTCCCTACCTGAGGGCACGGCCAAGCAGGGGCTCTGCAAGGGGGAGGACAGAGCCGCCCCAGGGCAGTTGGAGAAGTGACGGAAACATCCGACTACACTGACCACAGCAGTAAGGAGTGCTTCCCGTGTGCCAGGCTCTGTGCCCCTGAGGGAGGCTGGGCCTCTGGGGACCTCTGTGCCCCCCTGGACACAGTGTGCCACCAAAACAACTCCCGAGCACAGCCCTGGGCCGGCCCCGGTGAGAGGTGCTGCTGCTGCGCTGTCTGGAAGGCTGATGTCCAGGCACTGATGTGGCTCATCAAACGGGAAAATCAGTCCAGCTCAGCTGGCCATGCACATTAACATAAGTTTGTTTATCAAGTTACTAAAGACCAGGAAGTACTCCTGGAGGGGTGGTAAGACAGGTGCTCTCTATGCAAAGGAGTGTCTATTATTAAAAGAGCGTTTCTGGGCAGTAACTGCAATGTTTACCAGTAAACTTTCATGCACATATTCCACTTCTGATGAACTGTCAAGAAAATAATATGAAATATAGGCTATAACCATGTGCTGCACAACATTATCTGAATAGATAATCTAATTGCCCTATAGTTGGTGATGTTAAATACATTAGGATATAACCAAATGGTTGGATATTGTTAAGTCATTAAAAATGTAGTATATATATGAAAAATGTTTCATGGCAAGGGAAGATGCTTATACAATCCTTTAGTGCAGCGATTCTCAACCTGTGGGTCACGACCCCTTTGGGGGTAGAACAACCCTTTCACAGGGGTCGCCTAAGACCATTGGAAAACACATATATAATTACATATTGTTTTTGTGATTAATCACTATGCTTTAATTATGTTCAATTTGTAACAATGAAATTGGGGGTCACCACAACATGAGAAACTGTATTAAAGGGTCGCGGCATTAGGAAGGTTGAGAACCACTGCTTTAGTGGTATCTCCTTCTGGTGACCGGATTGAGTCCCCTCTAAGGAGTCATCCCAATGTGACTCTCAGTCCTTGCTGCCAGCGACATCACCCCTGCCTAAGCCAGTCAAGTCATTGCCTTGCCCTGGCCACAGGCATTGGCTGGGTGTGGGCCGATGACCCAATGAGGAACAAGGAGACACCTGAGACTGAGACTTCCTGGAAAAGAGGCTTTTGCTCCTCCCCCACTGGGTAGACGCACTGAGCCTTCTTTCCAAGGCACCCAGGAGCACGAAGACGGCACAGTGAAAGTCCCGTGAGTGGAGAGAACACCCCTGGAGCTCCGCCTGTGCGGGCCAGGCTCTCCTGAAGCCACGCCTTCGCCGGACTGGTCAGCTGTCATCAGTTAGCCGCACTGTTTTCGTAAGCCTGCTAGCACTCTACTTTTCTGCAACCTGCAACAAAAGGAACTATATAGCACTCCTCAACTTTTTTAAATTGTGGCCAAGTACACACAACATAGAAGTCATCATTTAAGTGTGCAGTTCAGTAGCATTTAGTACATGCTCGTTGCTATGTAACCATCACCACCATTCGTCTCTAGAACTAGAATTCTGTACCCGTTAATCAATAACGCCCCATTCCTCCTTCCCCTAAGCCCCCGGCAATCACCATTATATGCACTGGACTATTCTAGAACCTCATATAAGCTCACTATTTGTCCTTTTGTGACTGGCTTACTTCATTCAGCATGTCTTGAAGGTCCATCATGTTGTGGCAAGTGTCAGAATCCCTTTGTCATGCTGAGTTATGTTCCACTGCATGTGTGTGCATCGTGCACAGAGGAGGACGTCACAGAGACCTGGGCAGGCACCTGGGCCAGCCAGGCATCCCAGCAGCTGTGTGATGCCAGCCCATCGCCAACAGCAAAGCCAGGTGTCACGGAGAAGCAACACCAGGCGGCACCCACTGGAACCCCTTCCCTGCCCCCACCCTGCCTTCCAGTTTTAAGAAGCTGAGCTGACACCACTCACATCCGCCCCTTTGGACTAAGTGAACCTACATGCACTTGGACAATTTAGGAAGGAGATGCCCTGAGGGAACAAGCTAGACTTCCGGGTAGCAGGGACCAGAAGGCTGCACACTCTCATTTGAAAACAATGTAAGAGATGTGGACATATTGATACTCTGGGTTTGGGGGCAGATAATTCCAGAAATTCGCAGGCACGCTGCCCCGCATAGTGCTGGGCACCGGCACACCACAGCTCACGGGACTGAGACTCCGAGCCCTGCTTCTGGAGCCTCCCTGGCGGGTGTGGTGACTCCACATGTAGGCAAGTCCCCCATCCTCTGCCTGAGACGCCCACACTATCAGCAAACCTGCAGTTTCTTCTAACTCCTTTCATGGAAAACCCGACCTGAATGGGTCCATGATTTTACTCACTTCACTGCAGAAAGATCAATGCGCTTGACTGCAGGTTGCTGCCCCAACCCTATTGGGGATGTCATGGCATGCATGCCCTCCCACATCCCCCACCGGAGCTCTGCATCGGAGAACACTCCTGCCCAAGGGCTTCAGACAGGAGACTGGAGCTGTGTGTTTCTTGAAATGTTAGCGGTGGGCATGACTGCACAATGAGGTTGTAGTTTACTTCCTTCTTCATAGTGTGTTGCATTTCCCACGTTATCTGGACTGTGTACTGCTGTCACAATCAGGAAAGAAAACCTGTAGGTATTTCAAAAGCATCAGGCCCCTTGAGCTTCCCTGGGCGCATTAGGGCCACCCCATGCAGCCCTGCGCTCCTCCTGCAGTGGGAGGGATTTCTGTGGGGTGGGGTGAGGGGAGGGTTCTGGGGGAGGTCCTGCCAGCTCCTCCAGCCTACCGCACTCCCCGGCCTCCTGCCCCTCCCTCAGTGCAGGAGTTAGCTCTTGCCTTGAGCTAGCCCAGGCCCAGGAGGCTTCCTGCCCCTTTTCCAAGCAGGCTTCCTGAGTGACACCCTTTCCCTCTACCCTCCCCTGGTAGGGCCCCAAGGGATAGGGACAGCAGTCCTTCCCAGGCCTGGCTAGCAGGCTCCTGGTGTTACCCTGTACTGGACCTCTGACCTCAACCTGCCACAGCCCCTCCTCCATCTCCGGAGGCTGCTCAGCACCCGCCACCCTCCCAGGAGCACCCTGTGGCTGTGGAAACACCACCCAGTGCTCCTCAAGTAGACCCCTGAGGGTTTTTAGCGAGGCTCATTCTTTGCGTTGCTCAAACCCACACCTGATGGAAATGGACAGTTTCAGTGTGGGCATGATGCTCTTCAAATAGCATAGTCGCTGGGGCCTGGCTGGAGGCTGTGGGCTGTGGCTGCTCAGCTGCCTCAGGCAGGCCCTCCCTGCCACGCACCAGCTCAGAGCTCCACTCTCCCGCGTGTCTCCCAGGCCACACGGTTCGGTTCCCCAGGCGCCACCCTCTGACATGAGCAGAGACCCACACACAAGGCCAGTGACAGAGCTTTTGGGGGTCCCTGGTGGTCAGCCTTGGGGAGCAGGCTGGGAGGCACAGGGCTTCCTCCTCAGCTCCCAGCAAAGTCAGACCTGGACGAAGCGACAGGCAGAAAGCAGCCCTGCCACGGACCAGGGTGTGCAGGGACTGCGTGGGCTCCAGCACGTGTGCATCCTCCTCCGGCGACTCTCCTCTTAACCGGACGCTGAGGACACGGAGCACCTTGCTCCGGGTCCTGCTGTGGGAATGAGGCAGGAGCTGGGCCTGAGTCCTGTCTCACCTGACGTCTCCTCGCCTCACCGAACCACGTGCCACCAGCTCGCGTGGCCTCCAATGCCGGGAACCAGCGTGACAGACAAGCCCCGAGGCGGGACATGCTGAGCCACACCTGCCGGTCCTGCCTCCACAGGGAGCAGTCCCCCCACTCACCCCGCCACGGCCGCACCCAGCACCCGCTCAGCCGGAGTCTGCAGGGGCTCCGGGGGGTTGTGTTGCTTCTATATTTGGAGGCCTTCTTGTCGTGTTTGTTTCCTGGGTCCCTTGCTCCTGTGGCCCAGGAGCACTGTCACCCTGTCTTGAGATTCTTTTGAACAGAACTGGCAAGGAAATGAGAACCATCCTAATTAGGGGGTGATAACCCCAGAGAAATCCGGGTTCTCTGCAGCTGACCGTGCTCTTCCCACAGCCTGTGTGTTGTCAGATGTTTACAGAGCCTTCATTAGCTTAGCGCGGCCTCAGATAAGAGGTGGGAGCAGGCAGCGAGGGCCGATAAGAAGAGCGGAGGGCGCTCGGCCGGCAGGGAGCCTGGGAACTGGCCGGGCGCTGTCTGCAGGGGGGCCGGCAGGACGATGCGGGCCTGCTCTTCCCGGGCTCCTGCCCACACCCGCTAACACGAGGTGGCCAGCGGCCGTCTCCCATCCAGGGGACCCCAGTGCTGTCCCAAGATGTGCCTCGGAGCGCTGTGGGTGGCCCTGCCAGTGCTCTCCCTGCTGGCCTGCTCTGGGCAGGGGAAGCCTCTGGAGACCCGGGCCCGGACGTTGGCCAGGGGAGATGCCCGGCTGCCAGCGGCAGCGGGCGGTAAGCAGGAGGGAGGCACGTTCGACCTGAGGATGTTCCTGGAGAACATGAAGGTGGATTTCCTACGCAGCCTCAACCTGAGCGGGGTCCCGGCCCAGGACAAAACCCAAGCGGAGCCGCCGCAGTACATGATCGACCTGTACAACAGATACACCACCGACAAGTCGTCCACCCCCGCGTCCAACATCGTGCGCAGCTTCAGCGTGGAAGGTAGGGTCTGCTCCCCCAGGGCCCTGAGGGTCGGAGGTCGGGGGACATTGTACCCACAGCGGCACTGCCCGCTGTGGTGGCCACTGGCCACAGGAGGCTCTTTAAGTTTCCATTAAATGCATTAAAATGAAATGAAATGGGTAACTTAGTTGTTTAGTTTCACCAGCTTCCATTCAAGTGCCGGGCAGCGGAGTGTGGCTAATGGATTCCCTGCAGGACCCGGCAGCTGAGCCGCAGGGCCGGCCCCAGGCAGCTCTGCCCTGGGGGAGCCTCCCTGGGCCTGGGCTCCTGGGCTCAGTGGGAGCTGAGAGCATGGCTGCGCCCTCGCCCCCTCCCTCCCTCCATTTCACCCCTTCTCACTGGCCCCTTCCCACCAAGAAACAGATGCACATTGGGCCTTCAACCTGGTATATTTTTAAACTTTGAGAGAACATCTCTCTCATGAAAAGATATAAAACATTCATATTAATGCCCCTGAGAGATTAACACTGGAGGACTACTTAATTATTTTCTAAGTATATAAGAATGGCCCTGATTTGGGAGGACTGAAATGTCGACTCAAGGCTTATGTGCACTAATTCACACAATCAACGCAGGTGAGATGACTGAGCAGGAGGGCGAGGCTTGCAGATGCCAAGGGAACTGCCACACCCTATTGGTCAGCAGCTGCACTGTGCCTCAGGCCCCCTGCGTGGCGGCGGGTCTCCTGCTGCAGCATCCTCCCTCTGAACACCCCACGTGGTGTGGTGTGGCGCTGGCCTTTCTTCTCCGCCCTGGGCTGGAGCCCCGGAGGCTCCTGCAGGCCTTGCTCATGCCACAGACGCCAGGCCCCCCTCGAGGGCGCTGTGCTCACAGTGCATGTCCAGCAGTGTTCGATTTCCTGACTGCCCAAAAGGAAAATCTAGATTTTATGTGAACTTGCTCGATTTTTAAAACACTGGCTTTATTTTGTTACTACAATCAGCCAGCATCTCACCAGGCCCCCAGGGTACATCTGTGTCCTCTGTTTTAGGGCTTCTTTGGCAAGACCTAACCATTGAATTCCACAGTCTGGGAGTCCAGCGCTTAGAGTCATCTTAGGGGCACCTCACCCCACCCTCAGCATATCCGTGCCCTGGAAACAAGCGCTCTGACGGCCCCAGCTCTGCCGGTGGCCAGCACTCCTGTGGAGGCCACGCATGCTGCCCTTCACAGCCGTCACAGACAGGGAGGAGGGCACTTGCTTTGAGACATCTGACTGCAGCCCACAGCTACTATCAAGGCAGGAGAACACTAGGCCCCTAGCGCACTGCTCACAGACCCCGCATCACTCGATATACCAAAGCACCTCAGCGGGTTCTGCGGGGGCTCGAACAGCTGTGAGGGGACCACAGAGAACTGTGTGAAAGGCCAAGTGCTTGGGGGGCAGGGCATGCACCGGTGGGACAGAGGGCCTGGGGAGGACACAGAAATATTGACTGGGCATCTAGTATGAGCCAGGACAGTGTCGGCTAAGTTACATGCACCATCGTTTAAAATCATACACTCAGGATCAGCTCTCAGAAGATGACAGTTTTATTGTATTTGGCTCTTTTTTAAAAAATGAAGATCTTTGCAGAATGTGAGCACTTTGGATGTTAAACACCCGAAACCCACTCCCACTTCTGTAAAAGTGAAATAACAATTAGACCCTCGTGAGGAGTCATGTGAAATGTATGTGCAAAGTCCCTCCTGCACTGTGGGGCTCCTGGTGGAACCTGGGCCTGTTCCCTCCCATGCCAGCATCTCCTGCATCTGCTTTTCTTTGCACGATTCTAAGTGCACCTTTCAGGCACCTCTTCTACATTAAGGGCTTAAGTGAAGCCAAATAGAGATTTGACAGTGTCATTCCAGGTGCCCTTTCATGGGAGTCATGCGCTCAGCTTGGTGTCATGAGCCAGACCCTCCCAGCAGGTGCCCATCACTGTGTATTTGCATTTCAGATGCTGTCTCTGTAGCTGCCACAGAGGACTTCCCCTTCCAGAAACACATCTTGCTTTTCAACATCTCCATCCCCAGGCATGAGCAGATCACCAGGACAGAACTCCGGCTCTACAGCTCCTGCCAAAGCCATGAGCACCCGTCTCATGAGCTGAAGGGAAACATTGCCATTTATGATGTCCTGGGTGGAGCGGACACAGGGGACGCTTCTGCGGGAGCCAAGGCCTTCCTGCTGTCCCAGGACATCCGGGACGAGGGCTGGGTGACCTTCGAGATCTCCAGGGCTGTCAAGCGGTGGGTCAGGGCCGACTCCACCAAGAGCAAAAACAAACTGGAAGTGGCCGTGCGGAGCCACAGGAAAGGCTGCCACAAGCTGGATATCAGCGTCCCCCCCGGCTCCAGGAACCTGCCCTTCTTCGTTGTCTTCTCCAATGACCGCAGCAATGGGACCAAGGAGACCCGGCTGGAGCTCAGGGAGATGATCAGCCACGAGCAGGAGAGTGTGCTGAAGAAGTTGTCCACCCACAGCCCAGAGGCGGGGGGGAGCAAGGGCGAGGGGGACGTGGGAAGCCACGTGGCCACGGGGTCATCCTTAGCCAGACGGAAGAGGAGCGCTGGGGCCAACAGCCACTGTCAGAAGACCTCCCTGCGAGTGAACTTCGAGGACATCGGCTGGGACAGCTGGATCATCGCGCCCAAGGAGTACGATGCCTACGAGTGTAAGGGGGGCTGCTTCTTCCCACTGGCCGATGACGTGACCCCTACCAAGCACGCCATTGTGCAGACCCTGGTTCACCTCAAGTTCCCCATGAAGGTGGGCAAGGCCTGCTGTGTGCCCACCAAACTGAGCCCCATCTCCATCCTCTACAAGGATGACATGGGGGTCCCCACCCTCAAGTACCACTATGAAGGGATGAGCGTGGCAGAGTGTGGGTGCAGGTAGTGCCGCCTGCGGGCGGGGAGGCCAGGTTGGAGGGGCGTAAGGAGCGGTCCTGCGACAGGGACGAGGTCCATTTGCATGCCAGCCTGGAGAAGGAAAGGGAGCTGTCACACCCTCCAGGTAGAGCCTGCTCTCCCTCTCAGGCCCCCCCACGCACACCGCTGGGTTTCACGCAGGCGAGGCGATGGCAGGGAGGTAAGGGCCTGGAGAGAACAGGGCCGCCCGAAAGGGTTGTTGGGGTGGAAAGGGAGATGACGAAAGGGGAACAAGAAAAAAAGATAATCCAGAGTCAGCAGAACACTGAGCAAGGTGAGCCACAGGAGTCTAGACAGGTAGGTGATGTGTAGAGATTTAGAGAAATTAGAGGCGTGGAAGGGACTGGGGCTTATTTCCATAACTTCAGGGTGTGTGAGGGAAAGAAATGGACCATGTACTTACACTAGTCATTTCACATCCCCACAACCCAGTGAGACAGGCGTTGTGACCCCTAATTTATATACGCAGAACCCCAAACTCAGACAGGTCAAGTGGCACCCATCAGTCATCTGACTCCACCTCATAGGTTTGCATAGGGCGATCTATCACCCGTGCCTAGGACCCTCCCAGGTGCCCCATCACGGTGTGGCAGGTCACCTTGTAGCTACAGGTCAGTTAGATGCTGGGAGGTGGGGAGCGCGGGGCACTGGGCTCAGACTGGCCAGTATTCGCCAGTGGGACTGGTTTGCCGTTACATCCAGGGCATGTTCTGGCTGCTCGGTGCCGGTGCTGGCGCAGTGGCCAGTGCTTTTTAACATCACCCCAGAGTCACTGGGAAGGTGCGCCTAAACCAACTGCGGGGAGAGAGCGGGGCAGGGGCACTCAGCCACAGTGTGCACAGTGCTGTATGGCCAACAGTTCTCACGGGCCACTTGCTGCCCGTGCATTCAGGCCGTGTGGTGGTTCGGGAGGGGCAGACACAGTCGCCCTAATGGCCGGGGCCTGTGGCGTGCATCTCAGCTCCTCGCTCAGCATAACCAGCTCCCCACACAGGCTGTGCTGCATCTGGCCTCCGGAGCAGTGATCTAGGCCGTGGTCTGGGCGTGGCCCGCGCCAGCCCTCACTGACCCAGGAGGACACGGTTTCTGTTTCCTCTGTATTTCCTCCTCCTCTGACTCGAGACACGCATGGAATGGGAGGGGGTGAGGAAGAGTCTGGAAGTGGCGAGGATTCCCTCCATCGCCCTTCTGACCACTGGCCAGGACCAAGCCCAGCAGAGGCCTAGAAAGGCCTGGGCCATGCCCACTGGCGGAAGCTCCCAGTATGTTACAAACACAAGGTTTGTGCCGAATGTTTACATGGAGCCAATGAACAGCTCTAACATAAAATTGCAATGAAACATCGTTGTTTGATTACTAGAGTTTTGGAAAACATGAATTCCTGGTACGAAAATGTGCTCAGCCATAAAGATGGGTGGTGGGTGTCTTCCTGTCCCGATGGCGTGTTTCCACGCCTGCATCAAAGTTTTACTTGGAAATAAAGTCAAACGTCTAATCTGTGGCCTTTTGTGGATGTGAGACCTGGGCCCAATGGTCCCTCAGCCCCACACCCTGCCCACCCCTCCCTACAGGCCCTTCTTTCAGTGGGTGGGCGAAGGGGAGGGGATGGAGAGGTGCTGCCATGTGAGGGGGATGGACATGTCTGTGTAAGGGCATGTGTGTGACTATGTGGGCATGGGCATGAGCATGAATGCAGATATTTGTAAGAGACGAAGGATAATTAGCCGCCGTGCCATCCTCACCTTCCGCATGTGTCAGGGGAGAGAGGCTAAGACACACCTGGCCCTGCATCACCTTTACCTGGCCTGCTGGGCCGTGCAGTTCCAGCACCCACTCCACTGTGTCCCTGCTCAGCTGCCCAGCGCCAGCCAAATGCCCTCAAGAATCACCCTGTTCTTGACCTTCAGGTGACCGGCTGAGCCACCCCCCCCCCCCCTCCACAGCCCAAGTCCACCTGCTGGGACCCTGCCCTGGTGTTACCCCTTGGGCCCTTTCCCTACCCTCTGGGCCTGATCTTCCTGGCTCTGAGGGACACCAGTGCCTCTGTCACAGCTGTCACTGGCCTGGGATGGACACCTGACAGCCTCTCGTCTTGAGCCTCCTGAGGCAGCAAGTCCCCAAAGGGACAAGGCCCGAGAGCCTCTGGTCTCTGTTGATCCTGGAGGGCCAACATGGCCTATGGCTCAGGACAGACTGGTGTGGGCGACCGTGCATGGACAGGACATAGAACATGCAAGGAGCAGCCCCAGAAGTGTGCTCTGGCCACATCTTCACCGTTTCCTTTTGCAGTTCACCCCATCACAGATGGAAAGGCAACAGCGCCATCCTGTGGTCCCTGCCATGTAGCACCTGCCCTGGGCCTGAGGACCACCTGTCACCTGCAGGGTGGTTTCCTAAAGGTGTTGCTGTTTGGCACGTGAGAGCAGTGGCATTGCCATCATAGCACACAGCAAAGTGATGGCTTGGCAAGACGGGGGCTGTCCTGAGCCCTCGTGTGACCTACTGTCCCAACCGGAGCAGCGGAGAGAGAGGCTCAGGGTTGGTGAGCAGAAGCCACAGGCCACACAGAGAGACAGCGGGGTGGGAGCGGAGAGGAGGGACTGCAAGGACAGCCAGGGAGGAAGGCTGGGGCACCCCCAGACCAGGCATGAGAGCAGACATTTATACCCCAACCTTTATGAGCAGAAAGGCCTCTGGCTTCAATTCGGGGTGATTCTGAAGGGCCCTTCCTGCTCCAGAGCTCCCTGGAATTGGCCGAGGCCCCTGCTGCAGCTGCGTTGCCCTCAGCCTCTCCCTCTGCCCAGGGCAATGCCCGCCCCTCGCTGACAGTGCAGCCTCCAGTCCCGCCCCTCACCCCTGGGATGTGAGGGACCAAACCCCATGGGTGGGCGAACAGCCGACTGAAGGGCAGTGCATGCATTTGGGGGAATAACATAGAGCCAATAAAAAGCCTGTGGCCCGTGTGCAGCAGCATGTCCAGCTGGTAGAACCTAGTGCTGAGTGGAAAAGCAAGCAGCACAGCGAATGCCCAGCGTGACGTTCACCACATCGACGAGCCCCCACCGAGACGCGTGCATCCAAGGAAGATACTTACGCAGAAGGGAGCAGCTAACAAAAGCGCCAGAAGCACACAGCACATAGCAGGAAGGCGAGGAACGCCCACAGCAGTGTCTCCACAATCATCCTCGCAGTCATTTCTTGATATATGTGTCCTCCCCCTTGGGAGCGTGATTTGTCTTGGGGTCCCCAGCATTGAGGCCGGGGGATGCCAGCATGAGGCTAGATAAACGCCCACTGCTTCTGCCCCTTCCCTTGTCCACACTGTGCAGGCACCACGTGTCCCTGACCCGCTGTCAGCACCATGAGGCTGACTGGGTGGACAGGTGGGGAAGACAGACTTCAAAGTCAGTGTGAACTTGCAGTCCCAGGTGCCTGGAGCCGGCATGCGCTGGCTGCTCTCCCCAGGCCGGGCAAGTGGGGCCTCGCACCAGGAAACAGAGGCCACCACTGCACAGGCCAAACGGCTAGCGCAGCAGGGAGGGAGACCCGGCTCTAAAGAGCATGAGCCACAGACATTGTTCGGATCCTTGACAGCGTCCAAGGTGCAGCCTTCCTGTGTCTTCGGATCTGGAGAGTGAGTGGTGCCCCCTGTGCTTTCCCAGGACCCCAGCATCACACTCACTGCGGAGGCACGGGGGCCCCCTCCAGGGCATCCGTGTCAGTGCCCGAACTGTCCTTCCTTTGCCTGGACAATGCTTCTGCCAGGCCGTGCTTGACCAGCCTCTCCCTCGGTCTCTGTGACCATCATCCCGTTGGCCAGGGATGGTCCTGGTCTATGCCTGCTTCCCTGTATAATTAGTATCAGGGCCCTTGTTGACAGCATGTTACGTACGTGGTGTCCATAGTCACAGATAGCTCAGAGGCTGACAGCAGAGGTCAGTTGGGAGCAGCAGGGTGGCGAGAAGGGCATGGGTGTGGCATCACCTATTGGCTCATGGCGACTTCAAGGCAACGGGCTCACTGAGCCTTGATGTCCATGCACATCACTCCAAAAAATGGCACAGCCGTTTCCTGCTGCCCAGGGAAAGTTCACTAGGGCCTCCCATTTTCTGAGTAACGCTCAGGAACGTCTCAGAGCCACTCTCATCTTCTGTTGCCGTTTTGGCTCTGAGCCTTCGTTTCTATATCCCATTCCCCACTCTCCATTTTCCCTCCCTGTACCTGGCTTGGAAGTGAGGGGCCTCCCGTGCACACGCACCAGAGCTCCTTTCTGCGCTCGGCATCCACACCTGAAACTTAGCCACACGCTTGGGGCTCGCAGAGACACGCTCCACGTCCTTGCTCTGCCTGGGCCAGGGGCCTCACAGACAAGACCCTGGTACCTGTTAATTGTTGGGGTTCAGACATATAGATATGTTTGATGGACCTGGGGAAAGTGGACAAAAACATGCAGTAAGAACAGCTAAGTCTTGTGGGGGTGGGGGGGGGAATCATCATAAACGAGGATGGAGTCGGGCAGGCAAGCTCTTCTAAGCAGCGGAGTTTGGTGATTCAAGGCACGGGGTGAGGCCGCACCAGACAAGACAGTCCAGGGAAAGACGATGATGGTGAGCCGGCGGGAGAGGACCATTGAGAGGGAACATTGGTAGAATTATAGCAGGCTCTTCTGGAAGAGGGCTAGGCACTAGAAAAAGAATGTCTTTGCTCAGTGGTGAGAGAGAGAGAGAGAGAGAGAGAGAGAGAGAGAGAGAGAGAGGAAAAGGCAGGAGGAAGCCCGCTAGAGAGCAGATGCTCAAGGGACATCAGGGTAAGTCTTCATAAACTTGGATTTGGCAGAGGATTCTTAGGTATAAAACCAAAGTAAGACCAACAAAACAAAATGAGGTTAAGTGGACATCATGAAAATTAAAAACCTTGTGTTTCAAAGGACACCATCAACAAAGTGAAAAGACAACCCACAGAATGGGAGGGATATTTGAAAATCATATATCTGATAAGGGACTTATATCTAGAATATATAAAGAACTCTTACAGCTCAATAATGAAATGACAAATGACCCAAGTTAAAAATGGGTAAAGAATCGGAATGGACGTTGGTCCAGGGAAGATACATAAATGGTACATAAGCACCTGAAAGATACTTGATATCTTTAATCATTCAGAAACTGCCCATGAAAACCACTGTACACACTAAAATGGCTAGACTCAACCATAGAAGTGATCATGAGTGCTGGCAAGGATGTGCAAAAACTGAGACCCCAGAGACTGCTAGTGAGAAGGTAGCGTGGTGCAGCCACTTTGGAAAACAATTTGGCAGTTGCTCAAAAAGTTAAACATAGAATTACCATATGATGCAACCAGTCCACTCCTAGGCACATTCCCCAGAGAAATAAAAATGTATGTCCATACAAAAACTGCACACCAATGTTTATGGCGGCATAAGTCACAGGAGCCAAAGGTGGGAACAACCCAAATGTCTGTCAAGTGTTGAATGGATTAACAAAATGCGGTCTATACGCACAATGGAAAAGGAAGTACTGGCACAAGCTACAACCTGGATAAATCTTGAGAACATTATGCTGAGTAAAAGAAGCAGTTACAACAGACTTCATACTATGATTCCACGCATGTGCAAGTCCAGAACAGGGAACTCTATAGTGACAGCAAGTAGAGTGATTTCTTGGGGTGAGGAAGCAGGGATGAGGGATGGCAATGGGGGAATCTCTGAAGAGTGCCGGTTTCCTTCTGAGGTGATGGAAATGTGATGGCTGTACAGTTCTGTGAAGATACTAAAAACATTGAATTGTGCGCTTTAAGTGGGTGAACTGTACGCATGTGAATTGTATCTTAATAAAGGTGTTTTTAAAACATTAAGACAGACCATGTTCGAAAAAAATGATCTAACACGTTGCAAATGGGATTATTTTCCAAATCCATCTGCCTTCCGAAGCCTCTCTTTCCATCCGCTGCGCCCTTTTCTTTGTGTGACTCTAAGCGTCTCCTCCAAGCCCTCCCGATTGGGTTGCCCTCAGAACCTTGAGCCAGCCTGTCCGTGGAGCCAGGCCCACCAACAGGGACCAGACTCCTCGCAGACCAAGCCCTCTCAGCAGCCTGGCTCAGGACACGCAGCCCAAGCGGCCCTCGTACAGAGCTCGCGGGATGCTTGATGGAGGAGGACACGCAGGGGCTAGGACGCTCAGTGTCACTAGAGACGGCCTTGTCCTGACCCAGGCAGCGTCCCCACCTCTCGGGATCAGTCCCCCAGCAGGCACCTTGGACATGAGACATCGAGAAGGCCTGCCAACGCCTGCCTCTTGGCCCAGGCCCTTCCTTCTCTGCTCCCTACCCCTCTACCTTGGCCCAGAGCCAGTCCTCACATTGAGGCGACACCCTGGGGAGTGGTTCCAGCCTCACTTCCTGGACCTGAACCATGCCTAGGCCCCAGGCCCTCCGGTGTCTGCCCCCTACCGGCTCCCAGGCTTC